TTTTTTTTTTAAATTTTATTGTAATCAAAATTCTAACGAGTAGCGTTTGAGTTATAGGTACAACTTGTGTACTAAGAAAGTAAGAATTACACGTCTATGGTAATGGGCTAAGTAGTTAGAAGGCCTTAGATCAGGCGTGCCCAACCCCCGACCCGTGATAGTATTCCTACCGCCTCGTAACCATTTAAAAAAAGATTATAAATCATGAATAAAAAATTTTTACTATAATTAAAAAAAAAGCGGGTAAGTCGTGGATGTCGCTTTGCTGTACAGTAGGTTACAAGTCGGTTTCTGTAATGGATGAAATTAAATTTGAATCCAATGATATTATATCATTGTATACGAAAAACGATTCTGAGCAAAGACGGTTTATATGTCTAGGATATATTATATAGATTATTAAAAATGTTCAAATCCTAGATTTAAAAAGAAAAATATTTATGAATTTCTAACATAAAATAATTTACGATTTTTCGTGATTTTTAAGTATGTTATCAAAATTCAAAATTTGAATGCTTGTAAATAAAAATTGTGACTATATTATTCTTTTATTTATCACCTGCTATTGTAAAAATATTTTAGGWGCCTTATATTAAATTTTCAAATCTTWGATATAAWAGGAAAATTTTTTATGAATTTCTAGCTTAAAATAATTTATGAATTTTCGTGATTTTTACGTATGTTGTCWAAATTCAAACTTTGAATGCTTGTAAAAAAAAAATTGTGACTATGAATTTATTTTATTTTTCAACTGCTATTGTAACAATATGTTAAGAGACATGTATTAAATTTACAAGCTTTTCTGCTTGCAAAAAAAACTAATAATGATCGAAAATTTCAAATGCCTATGAATAGTTCAACTTAAGTCGAAAATTTTTGAAAATGGCTTGGTGGATAGAATAAACTTATATAAACAAAAACCAAAATCGATTTTGTTGAAAACTGATAGTGCGTTAAATTTCCCGTTTTCCCCTTAATTTTTAGTTTGTTTATCCCGATTATTTAGAAAAATATTGAGAATTTTTTACTTTTGACCACCCAAAGTACCAACTAAATTTACTTTTTGATCAAACGAGGTACTGAAGTCAAAAATCAAAACACTTTTACTGCCCTCAAATAATGATGACAACCACAATAAAAAAAACACACACTTCATATGGTAAAATCAATACATTCCTCTCTCCGCTTAGAATCTAAAATATTGGATTTTAGAATATTTAATAGAAATATATTAGTTTGAAATTTGTACCTACTTGTTTTTCTTCAACCAATCCTTCAATATTTGGAGTAAAATGGGTAACTTAAATTTTTAATAAGAATTTTAA